ATTTAAATACTTCAAAGGTATGCATTAGTGAGTATACAAAGAAGTAATTCATATAACATTATTTCTCCAGGCAGCATAACTTGTCAAAGATTTACTTCTTCACATATTAGTATATATACAAACATAGAACACACAGTGGATTCAATGAGATGAACAACTGAAACAAACATAAAATACACACAAAACAGTAACACGTTTGTGCCTTTCAACAGATTGCTGGGGAAAAAACTAAAAATAACATAAAATTACTTCAGTCTGTTCAGAAAATGCCAGAATTACTCAATCATCACATGTATAAAATGTGGTACTTTACTATTTCCCAATCACGACCTAATCTTGCAAATATATTATTTTATTTTCATTTTTTATATGGAGGTATATGTCTGTACACACCTCCATGTAAGCACAAACACAAATTTAGCTTGCTTTCTGTAAGAATTAAAAGACACAGCATTTTAATCTGATTCAATATGCAAAAGGATATTGTACCTTTAAGACTAACTGAAAAAAGGCTGATAGCATAAACTTATGTTACCAATGTCTACAAAAGCTTATGTTAACAACCCCTTTCTCTTAGTCTCAAAAGTGCTCCAATATCCCTTTGATTTTATGGGTTCTTTTTAAAAATCAGCTAGAAACCACAGCATAATCAATATCATAATGGAGCATTAGAAATCTCAGCCACAGATCCCCAGCAACAAACATAAATATATTCAAGCAGATATGCAGGGCAGGGCAAGGCAGGGCCAATCACCAAGCTATGTTTTACACCAAAACTACCATGATTACATAATAAAGGGGAAAGGCAAATTGGATCCCCTAATCTTCTGATAACTAAATGGTAACAAAGTGACAAGAGGCTTGTCTAAGACAGCAAGCCTTGACATGACATTGAAAGAAAATATAAACTTCCAGCCTTTACAAGGAGAAAGAGGAACTAGGCAGCTATATAAAGATGTACTCATTTCTCCACCCAAATGCAAATTTTCAAAGCTCTAAATGTACATCTTAATCTACAATATGAAAATGTGAAACCCTTTATCCTTCAAAATATTGCTCCAGAAATACAACAGAGAAGATGACTTGGGGTATATGCTACGAACTGGAATTCCCACTTCAGATGAGGTTCTATAGTTGTAACAAATCCCACAAAGTTGGTCTAACCTCAAACTGCAGAAACCCTATGTGAGATGTTGGACAGTCCCATAGGGAGACCTGCTACCTTTCCTAAAAATGGGAAGTAACCTTTGAGGAGAAAGGTGTAAATAAAAATACAAGATGGCTATTTTCTCCAGGGAAATGAAATAAACTAGATGACATAGATAACGTAGATGAGGGTTTGGCTGTTGAATTAGAGTTTAGCCAGGAACAGCAACTCCCCCAAACATCTCAAAGCAATAACTACTCAGCCTGCTGGTTCAAACACAAGAGGTTTCCTTCTATGGAGCAGGCTGAGGAAGACTTAATTGTGCCTTCCCTTGCAGAAGGTAGAAGGGAAAAAATCCCAGCTAAGGTGTTCAGCCAGAATTACTGAGAAGATGGCCAGCAATCGGAATGAGCTGTGAAAGCAGCATTTAAGAGGTTGCAATGTGATATCTGGCATTTGCAACCAAGCCTTGGACCTTGTGCTCTATAGACCCATAGATGCTGTTGGAACTTCGGACTGATTCATGACTTTGCCATTGAATTTGGAGACATAGTTTCATTCTATGAAAGTTCAGTAATTGGATTGAATCAGGCGTGTTATGTGGCTTCTCTGTTACTTGTTCCTTGAAGTTTGTTGTTACTTAGAACTAACTGGCTGACCTTGGACTAAAAGACTACTTTCTTGGTGATTCCATGGTGAGGCACTTGATACTAGAGTCCTTCAAGCAACAAGCACCAAAGCCATTTCCGCCTGTGTGAAGAAGCATCTTGCTTCAGTCTCTGCTGTCTGCCACTATGCCACCACACCTTACCCTTATACCTGCAATATCACTTCAAAATTAGCATCATGGCTAAATCATTTGATAGCAGACTATATAGCTTCTGATTAATCTCAATCGATCCCTGCCTCCATATTATTATTTTTCAATGTCCTTAAGGTCTTTGACATGGTTGAATACCTATAGCTACTAGCATTTTCTTTAATAGAATCAAGAATCTGGGTGCAAATATACTTCTTTGATTAATCTCATTTATTTCTACTTTCAAACATCCATACTAATAATTCTGGACTTATTCCATCAAAAGGCACAAGTAACGAATGGCTCCATAGCCTCTTTTATTCATACTACTGAGCTCCATCCTAAATCAATTTGGACAAATTAACAGATTAAAAAAATACACTTAATTAACCTATATGCCAACAATACCATTCTTTTGATTTTTTTAAACAAAAATATTTCCAGAAAACAATTGATGTACAATTTTACTATTTCAAAAGTATAGATAGTTCATGCTCAATCCTTAAAAAAATCAAAATGGCTAAATATGTATATTCCAATTAAAGAATAAATCTAATAACGAGAACTGAGATGAGCCATTCTGGATTTAAATACCTTTGAATAACTCTTATGAAAAACTGGTTATTGTTTATGAAATAAAATATTCCCTTGCAATGCACAACACAAAAATAATGCTCAGCAAATGATCACAATTAAAACAATTCCTTGCTCATGAGAACTTTAGCAACTAACAGGCAAGTACTTCTTCATTTGGCCCTTTCTATTTCAAAATATTTTGCTAACACCAAATACCAGTAAGCTAATGGAATGGCAAGTAGGGATAATCAGTTCATTGCAAAAAGGAAAAAGAAACTACTGAACAATTCCAGTACAAATCAAAAAAGTGTATCCAGGTTTTGCGGGTCTGGTTTTTTTTAATCAAACATTATTTATTGTCAACAGTCTTTATTGTCAATTATTTAATATCAAAATTATATAAGAAAATATATGTGGCAATTGTGAGTGTGTGAAGAGTTCTTCTTTATGTAGTGTTGTGAAACATTTTCTTGTTTCAATAGAAACGTGTTACTTAGATTGAGGCAATGCTTGTGAGCTATTGTGCTATCATTATCTTTGAAATATTTCTTCATTCATAGATGATGGAGGAAAACCCACCAGCTCACTGTGGAACTGAATCATCTGTATAGGTTTTGTGAGACAGAAAGATGGGCTTCATGAAAGGACAGATGTCTATGCTTCACTTAATAAAGCTTAGCAATTCAGCAAGCCGTAAGCAAGATCTTCTGTTTACATGCTCGCAATGAAATGAATATCTTCCATTTGGTTTATTTGTTTTACTTGTGTTATTTGTTTGGTATTTGATGAAATTCTTCTATTTCAAGAATAAAAGAAGAAGAAAAATTTAAAATGGCAAGAAAGAAGAAAATTAGTAGCAGAACATAAGAAAGATGCCAAGTTGACCTTGGCTTATAAACCTTGGCTTATAAACATGCAATCTGAGACAATGCTTTGATTTAAACAGAAACATCTCAGGATTATTGGGTTATTTATGTAAAATGAGAACAATTTACTTTTTGTGGAACCTTCTCCTTGAACATTCAGTTAAAAGATTTTGTGCTGGATTTTAGGATTAAAAAATAGATCTGTATGTTGGTACTGTATTGAATTACAGCTGTTTTGATTTTCAGTACTTTTAAAGCCTTGAGAATCTATTTCATAAGGCATCTAAAGACTCTAAAAGCAAATAAATTATTGAGTGGAAACAAATGAGCATGATCATCACTTTCATTTACAAATATTGCTTTCCCATTTCTCTTCATCACATCTCTTCATAGAAGCATGGAGCTGAAAGATACCACAAGGGTCATCCAGTACAACTCCCTGACATGCATTTTATTTAAGACAGATAGCAAGTATTTCAGATACAGCAACACAACTTCAAGAAATACCGTATATACTCGAGTATAAACTGACCTGAATATAAGCCGAGGCACCTAATTTTACCACAAAAAAACTGGGAAAATAGATTGACTCGAGTATAAGCCAAGGGTGGGAAATGTAATTTTACCAGTGGCAACTACTGGTAAAATTCAAAATAAAAATAGATACCAATAATATTACATTAAATGAGGCATCCGTAGATTAAATGATTTTGAATATTTACATAAAAATGTAATTTAAGATAACACTGCCCAACTCTGATTAAATCATTATTCTAACCTTCTTCAATGTCAATGTGCTTACGTAGATTTACAATAATAATAGAGAGAAAAAAAATAAATGTAGTAAAATAATAATAATAATAATAATAATAATAGAGTAAAATATGGAAATGTAATGATAGCAGTAAAAATAGAATAAAATAATAAATGTAATAATAATAATAATAAAGTAAAATAATAAATGTAACAACAACAAGAACAACAACAGAGTAATATAATAAATAACCTTGACTCGAGTATAAGCCAAAGGGGGCTTTTTCAGTTTAAAAAAAGGGCTGAAAAACTAGGCTTATACTCGAGTATTTGCAGTAAATTTTTTTGCTGATACGTTGTTAATAATGCTGACTTATAATGTAGATATCTTCTAAATGTCTTTATTTACCTGTTTCTTATTTGTTCCAGGCATGTTATTAATTTATATTCTATTTAAAATTTTAAAACAGCATAACAACACTACATTAGTAACATTTCATCTCTTTCCAAAATGAGCTCAAAGTAGCATGTAGGAAAATATGTGACTCCATGTTATCCTCACAAGGCAGGTTAGGCCAAATACAAAATAGAATTAAAATACTGAAGAATGACTAGCTCTGAATGTCCATCTAGTGGACCTTATAGAGAAAATGTCACCAATATTGTGTTTTCATCCTTCTCTTCTTCTTTCCACTTTATATTCTGTCACTCTTCTTAACAGCCCACATTGAATGTACCCTAGGACATCGTGTCCTCTGATCACTACAACTCTGAATTGGTTTGTATAACCCTGATTCTGGTTTCAAATTAATCAAGGCAAATGTCCAATTGGCATAAGTTAAAGAGATATAACCAATACCTGAGTAAGGAGTTGCTCCTGTGTTAGATTATTGATCCACCTTGTGTATCGCTCAGTTGCCTCCAAAGGCTCTCTCTTAATTTGGCCACCTATAATCTGAAAGTAGAAACATAAACACCAATTTTGAGGAGTGCAAAAAGGAAAAGCTAAAAAAAGCATTGCTAACATTTTAATGGATCAGAAAGACTGCTGCCTGCCTTCCGTTTTTATGGGATGAACACCAATATTACTTTGGCAGTACCTAAATTTTAAATGTTATTATTCAAGGTAGGCCAAAATCATATTTGACACTTAAAACTGCACGATACTACACACTCCTCCCCCCTCCCCTCAATCTTGTCAGTTATCACTAACTCTGCTTCCTATCCAAGACCCAACCCCCATACCTGTTAAGACCAGGAGATGACTTTATTTATGGTGGAAAGGGGGAAGAGAAAAGAGGTACATTCAGAAGTTAACTAGTTGGCTCATCTTGACTCAGAAGTGATAAGAAATGGCAGTGCGGTCACAGATTGCATATTTCTATCCCTTCCCTTTGGAATGCCATTGGTTGAATTGCCTTCCTACGCTCTCTCATCCATAAAATGAGCCAGCAACTACTTCCCTTCACAAGGCTTGGGAGAATCCAGAGAGGAATGAGTTATGCGTGTTGCACAAAATGTTATAGTCCCACATCTTGCAGTCCATCCAAAAAAAGGCCTATATGCGAAAAAGTTACACTTGTTTCTTACATTACTAACAAATTTCTAGTTGTAATGGTACTAGAGTCCAATCAGTCAGTATCTGGTGTATTTAGTTTCAACAAAGACATTTAAATTAATACTTTCAGTAAAATAGGAGGAGGAGGAGGAGTGGTGGTGGTAGTAGTAGCTGTGCAAGTTTCTTTCTTGTCCATGCATTACTGAAATGACTTTACAGGTAGAAGGATGCATTCAAAAGACATATCAAGCCAGGTGCATTGTTAATAAACAAAACAACCTACAGATCAGGGTGACAGTTTGACTTACATATTTTTTTTTATTTAAGCAGCTGTGATAATTGTAAATGGCATCACATTACAAAGGCTGAAGAACTACACACACACAGTTCCCCCAAATTGCTAATCTTTGGGGCCGACAGGGTATCCAAGCAAGCTTTCAATTTCCTACTAACTATAGTTCCAAGCAAAACATAAACCATCTTGTGTTAATTGTATTATTGACATTTCACACCTGCTACATGATTTCACTTTCAGACTTTGGAGCAGTTGGCAGATATTATCTGAACCAAAACTAGCATTGAAATTGCTGCCTTATGAATCTTTGTTTTTAAGAACCAAGTTCATGTTAGTCACAAAACTAAATTATAGAACTAACTGAAGAAAAGTATGTTTGTTTAAGGCACTTGTTGACTTATGGTGACCCCATTAATGCCATAGGGTTATCTCAGGCAAGGAGTACTCAGAGGTGGTTTTGCCAGTTTCCTTCACTGATACAGCACTTGGTATTCATCAGTGGTCTCCTGTCCATGTACTAACCAGAGCCAGCCCTGCTTTGCTTCTGGGTTCTATAGGATCCAAAAAAGATAGATGCAAAGAAGTCAAATCTAAGCAACATGTATTAGTCATGGATTGTGCCTTGTCCAAGTATTTGACAAACCTTTTCTCTTACTGTCTCACTACTACAATTACAAGTAATGAAGGGTCAGCAAGAATTAGGCAACAATAATGGTTGGATCATAAGTTTATTTCCTTGTTTTTATTTATTTTACACTCCTTTTAATTGTTTAAAAATCCAAAAGAACTGAATATAATGAAGTTCAAAACCAGCAAATACTGTTAAAGTAATAAAACAACAAAATAGCAATGATACAGTAAAACAGTATGGTGCTGTTACTTTTTCTTATTCTATTATTTGACATTTCTAAATTTAAATGAAGTTTCACTTACATTACCAAAACTTGCAGGAATGACTGACTAGTTTAGCAATGACAAAAATGGAGGAAACTCTACTTGGAAGCCCATCTGATCCAACTGGTGTGTGCCACAATGCACAAGTTGTGTATTCCTATTACAACATGGATCACAGCATACAATGCAGGAAGATTCGAATGATTGCATGTTATTTTCACTGCAATGAAATATTTTACTGTTAAAAAATATCAGGTGCAGCTGTGATAATTGTAGAATTCAATAACAAGACTAAGCTGGATGTTGGGGGAGAGCCGGAAAAATTGGTGGTGGATGTTTTTATAAGTACGATGCCAGTTTCACTAATAATCTTTTTTTTTTTTTTTTGGTAATTCAAACATGAAGAGATACATTATTTTGAAGAACAGTACATTGTAAATTAATGATAAATTTTCTCTTGAGAAGAGGTAATTACAGAGGGATTTGCTTGTATATTTAATAAGGCAAACTTTTTCACACTCTTATTCATTTCACTGGTTTTAAAAATCATTCTTATACTATATATACAACAAGAATTTTGTGGGATAGAAACAGATGAAAAGTCCTGAGCAACCCAATTTTCCCTGCCTGAAAGAAATTCCATAACAAAAAGATAAGAAAGTTTCACTCCTTATACACAAAGCATACTCTGACCCAGCTGAAGTTCCACAAATATAACATAATGAACAGCTGCCAGGAGGTGATAGATTAGACTTAGTACTGGCTTTCTTATCACCCCATTTCCAATTAGAGCTGAACATGTTGGATGGTCCACAAAATAGTACTGAAATGTACTAATGCAAAGAAGCCAGTTTTAGCTATGTCCAGAGCATTAAAAAGGTACATAACTAGGAGATGCTAGGTTAATCACCTTTCTTTTCAATTCAATGTTTGTGGGCAAATACACTAGCAGTGCAATCCCTAAGCCAGTTAAATTGGAGCAACGGGGATTTAAAACAGGCTAATCCCACCGATTTCAGTCCAAACATTCCAGCTGGCAAGGTTTTAGATGGCAGTGTAACTCAAAACAAAGCAGAATGCATGAAGTAGCCAGTTCAAAGGTAGCTCAGAGCTCAAAAGACAACACTCTGTATTGCTTAATCTTCAGAAAGTGAAATTCATTATACCTAAAGTAGAGACCTATTCACACTACAAGTTTATATCATTTTCACACATTATTAGTATTTTAATTCCCAAAAAAGAACTCTGGAAATTACAGTGCAGTGAAGATGTTGCAAATTCTCTTAAAAGTCACTAGCCCCATTCTCTTCACTGAGCAGTATTTCTCCTGGATGGCTGTGGAAAGGGAGTAAGTGTGAAACCACTGGTAACACATGGCTCAAGACACTTTCAAAATAACCAAGTATCTTAGAATAAATATCAATAGACTTTTTTAGAAAGAAAGAAAAAACAACATAACCACTGAAAGAGGCACACATTCCAAGCTTTCATTGTCACCTCCCCCTCCCATAAATACTGCACATGCTTTACAACTCTAAAGTGTTTTCAGTAAAACTCCCACTGTATAAACATGTGGCCAGTTGTCATCCTGCAGAACATAATCTATTTTATCCTTGTCATTTTGAGAACAATAGCATGGTTAAGAATATGAGGGCCATAAGGAATTATACCAAATATCCATCTATTTCAGTATTTTGTTCACAAGGGAAAAAATAATGGTCAATTGTCTCCTACATATCAAGAATGCCTATAAAAAGTTAACCACTGCAGATCTTTCAACACTCTCTTCATGTCAGAAGGAAGTCCTTAGGATTCTGGGGGGCAAAAATACATTTATGTGGGAAAACCATTTCATATAAAATAAAATGCATATGTGCAAAAAGAAGAAGAAGAAGAAGAAGAAGAAGAAGAAGAAGAAGAAGAAGAAGAAGAAGAAGAAATAATTGTCCACAAAATAGTCCAAAAGGTAAAAACCAAGAATTGGTAAATGTGTGAAAATATAAATAATCTCACCCACTAGGTAGAAAACCTTTGAAATGTTTTGTTTTATAGGAGTAGAGAAACAGGCTCAACAAACAGGAAGTTTACAGAACTTCTCATTCTTACTGAATGAGGAAATTAGGATTTATTGCCTTCCCAACAAGCCAAGGTAAGAAGCCATATTTTAAAGATGACTTATGAATCTTGGCTTGTTTGGAAGGCAATGATCACGGTTACCCAAACTGAACCTTATCAATCTGAATTAAAATTTCAAACTGTACACTGAAAATGGCATCTGAGTAACAGATTAGCCATTTGCTTCTGTTATAGGGGAATTTGATGCCTATGAAAAATGCTAAGCCTACATTTTCATTACTTCTACAGAAGGCATCAAGACTGAGTCATGACAAAAACTGACTTTGTGGATACCAATACAAAACCCCTCAAAAAAGAGTGAGTCATAATGTTAATCCTTTCTGTGATTAAATCTATTCTGAGTGCTCCCAGCACTTGAATTTGATGTGTGTTGCTAAAAAGATAGAGAGCTCAGTTAGAGTACAGCTGAAACGTATCCAACATAAAGAGAGAGGTTTGCCACTTCACTCAGAAGGCAGTGACACTGTGACATTTGGAACTTTCAGATCAAAACTCTACGAACTACAAGTTCATTAATCCATATTATTTTGCTTGAGTTTGTGTCAAATTGCCAGTTTTTCTATTTCTCTTTCCCTCTCTCCCTCCCTCCCTCCCTCCCTCCATATGTGTGTGTGTGAGTGAATGAGTGTTCTCGCTGCAGCTTTAAGACTGGAAAAAGTGCTTCTAACACTTCAGACAAGTCATGCACTTATATCAAACATTTTGCAATCAAACCCACAATATTTTTTTCCAATACCAAATGTGATGAAGGAGACCAAGAAGTTTGGCGACCCTTAGACTACACTGTAATGGGTAACAATATTGAGGCTCAGAGCTTCATTGGGGATTTTAAAAGTGTCAATGGGCTACACATTTTTAAAAAAATTGAGTAAGTTAGAACATAATTCAAGTAGTTTCTGACTTAGGGTGATCCAAAGGCATTATCTGAGGCAAAGAATGTGTGACTTGCCCATGGTTAACCATAGCATACTGGGTTCCCATAGCAGAACTGAGAATCAACCCCTGGTTTCCAGAGCTATAGTCCAATGCTCCAACCACTACATCGTACTGGCTCTGCAGTCATATTACATTT